GATTCAATATATATTTTTCGCGGGGTATTTCACAAACCTCCCCACCTATATCCCATTGTCTGAATCTCACGAAACTAGATTTTTGAGTGTATTGGATGTGTATCTTCTGAAAATGAGATTTCATGTTCCATCGAAAAACTGTAATTATTGGTTTGAGAGTACTTTAACCTAAGTTGAAACATTATGAATGATTTGATGTTTGTTTACAATAATAACAATTTACCAAAACTAAATAATTGCATATTCAAATGAAAATAGTTTATTGTTTCTAACAAGAATATCTCAAACTGAAAGAGGCCTGTAAAAAGTCTGCAAAAACTCTTATTGTATCAATGGATCTTACGTTTTTGGGAAAGGAAGGTTTCGGGAATCTTCCAAACTGAACTATTCGTAAAGATATGTGAAACATTCAAAGAAGTAACTTTAGGACACAAACTAAAAAAATGTCCTCTTGAAACAACTACTTTAGTATAAACATTGAGTCACACGAAAGAAAAAATACTTTCGAGACAACTACATTTATATGAAGATTAAATTATACAAAAAACCTTTTTCTATTCAGTTTGTAGATACTTTAAGCATTCGTTATGAAGTTGAATCATATATCATTCACAGGATTGCTACACAATATATAATATGGAAGAGATAAAATTGTATTCATATAGAACACTGAGATCCCCAATGGCAAACATCCAGCAACAATCTAGATAACATTTAGATGGAGCACAATTCATTCATAAAATCACGACTTTATGTTACGAATGAGTTGAATTTACTCATGTTATCGATGACAACATAATAACATTCAAATGATTATTTGATTGAATCCCAGCCATATAGAGCAGGATCGATAATTTTTGAAACCAAAAAAATAACAGTAGGATGAAATCCTTCAGAAAAGGAGGAAAATATGATAAAAATGAAAGAAAAAATAAGTTACGGGCGATCTGAGTTCGGTAAGTGGGAGTTTTCAAGGGTGAAAAATTATTTATCTCGATTTCCGGCAAAACTACGAGTTCTATGGGAAAAAGTTAAATAGCAAAGTTGTAGGTAATAAAAGATCTACAACTTTTGTATTTAAAATTTTTTCACGTAACTTCAAAATTTATGTGAAAAATACAAATAACCAAATTTTTGTTTTCTTATTTTCATCTTATTCAAAGAAAAATTCTACGAAATTTAGTGAAAGCTTACCTTTTTCTATTCCAAATACCTTATCTTCAATTTTAATCACTTATCCATCAGTTTTTGTCTTTTCATCGTTAGATTCGACAAACCTTTCCAATTCCAGTTGATCTTCAAAATCTTCAAGACCATCACCTTCTTCGTCTCCAATATCATTTCATCTGAACCATCAACTTCCCCGAGGTTTTTTCTTCCATGTTGGAGTAATTTTCAAAACCATGACAATTTGTGCATTAATTTGGGCATTTTAAACCATGTTTCCGACAGCCATATTTTAAACTGTTACAGTCTCTCAGCTGCAGCAAATAGTTTTAAGCAATACTTTCGGAGTTAAATCCTTTTCTGTAAATTTGGCATAATGCCACGTTGCTTCCAGCCCCAATCTCTTGCTGTCAGCTCGTTACCCAACCAATTTTGAAGCTGCTACTATGCCCCGTAACAATTTTGTTATGCTGCTCCTTCTGTGGGTGGGAGGTTTGCCAAAATGAAAGATGATTTAATTTTTGCCAATTGATATCCAGATGTTGTATTGCAACCGAAAAAACAATGCAGAAATGCAACAATATTTTCGAAAGTTTCATGTTTGAAACTATTAGACGTGAAAAATATATTCTTTAAATTTCCAGCACCTCGTTTGAGATAATAAATGTCATGATAATCTTGATTTAAATGATTTGAAAGGACAAAAAGGTCAATATTTTGACCCACAACATTGACAGTTTTATTAGTAGGTATCTCTGGCAATTTCTATCGAGGTCTTAATTATATCAACATCAACATCTTCTTCTACTTGTTTACAGGAAAACTCTTCGTGACTGTAATCTTTTCATTGAAGTTTTTATTATAGTGTCCTTGTTTTTCTCGTTAGATGAAAATTTATCTTGCAAAAATGGATTGAAAAGTAGGGTGCTTTTTTGATATTAGGTCAAAATAAGGTGAGAAAATGAATATTTTGAATCAAATGAATCACAGTGTGTTTGAAACATGAAAAGGTGAGTTTTCACCAAATTTCGTAGAAAATTTTTTTTAATAAAAACCCGAAAACTTGGTTATTTGAATTGAATGAAAAAATAAAAAATTGTAAATACAATTTTTGAAGGCTTCAGCCCTCTTCTGAAGGAATCTTGTTCGAATAGAAAGATGTATACTTATTATTGGGAAAGAAAGATTTTGGCAGGTGTCTTATTCCGAAACACGTCCGGCATTGAGGGTGACAGTCTTCCATGTCAGTAAAATTTTCCCTTTTTTGATATACTAAAATTGTGTAACAATCCTGTGAATGATTTCTGATTGAATTCCATAAGGAATAACTGGAGTAAAAACTGAATAAAAGAAAGTGTTTCTTGTAGAATTCTATGTTAATATGAAAGTTGAAGAAGAATGGAAGTAGAAGGCCAAAACCTTTCTTTCCTAATCATAGTTTTGACGTATTCAAAAAACACTTTATTGAAGATTTTCACTAAACAGTTTTATAAAAACGCAACACGTGTTTCGCCAAACAATGGTTTCTTCGGGCGTGTCTTTACTGTGGGTAAAGAAAATCTTACTTCACTGTGAGTGAAGACTGTAACATTTTTTTTTTTATTGAATTTGGATGCTAATAATACTTGTTTGTTATTCCCTGTAAAGTTTATTTTCTTAACTCATTTTCGTGCCTTTATATTTTCCAATTCGGTAGGGCCATCTGGAAACGAGTAACTGTCCTTCCAAATCGTTGATAGCAATTGACCGTACCCTCATTAGGTACGTTCTAGGTTTCCTGCTTTTAATCATATGTGACACCTAGGTGTGGGTGATCGCACTCGCAGGAAAATAGTACTGCAGGAATCGTGAATGAATGATATTCATTTCGCGAAGTTTTCTTAGGAGAGTGTTGTAATTCGATGGAACTGTGAGAGGGAGGCGAAAATCATCTATTTTTGGAGTGTGTTTCAAAATGAACGACAGGCAGGTCTAACGGTTGAGGGAGTGCAACAATTTTTATTGTTACCCACGTTGGGGATTCTACTTCTGATATCAAAATAGTGATTGAAGTGCCTCTTTGATTTTGGTCATTGATGTAGTTATTGTTGAGGACTATCACGAACCGTTTAAGGGATTTATTTGACCGGAGCCGGTAAGCCACACCAAAACGTTTTTTTCTATTCGTAACCTTCATTCGTTTTCTCTTTTTTCATCCAGTTCAATTTCAATTGCTGCTACTATAAAAAAAAACTACAAAGGTGGAAAAATTCCAGTTACACCTATTGGGACGGATTTCTCAAAGTGTTCACATCACTAGAAGGGAAGTTGAGAATTTTCTCCATTCTTTTTAAACGATCCATTGTGAGTTGGAGGTGTTATTTGGGACAAAAAAAAAATAATAAACCAACGCCCAGGAATTTTGCTGGTCTACTTTTTTTTCCTCTTTGGAAGAAACAAAAAAAACCCTTCTGAGAAGGTAAGAATAGTACAGTATTTCACTACATTATTTTTCCCAGTTCCACATATGAAATAAAAATTATCAAGTTCTTTTATTTTATTTCAATTTTCTATTTATAGAAAAAAATAATGAAATTTTTTTTTATTTTTGCTAATTGAATTATACCAAGTAAATGTTTTCAGAATTTAGTTGACCTTGAAATTTCTACAGTACGAATCAAATACACATTTTTGTTCAAACTTCTTGAGTTAGTTCTACATGATTTATATAGTGAACATTTGATTATTTATAATATAAAGTTGTGGGTATTCGATTTTTTTTGAGATTCATTACAAGATCAGCTAAGTGTACAATTTAATTTATTGATTTTTATTATAAATTTTACTCAATAATGACTTGTATAATTCGCTAAATAATATCTACAAAATATTTTTCGATATTTGATCAAGTTGCATATGGGGTGATACAGATATTTCTTGTTGTTTTTGATTTAATTATTATTGGGAAACATTTTGGGGATTTCATATTTGAATTCACTTACAGGGTGGGAATTCAATATAAGGAAAATATGTTAATATTTTTCGTTCTTACTTGCGTTCGATTTTTTTTTTCAAACAATCACTGGTTTTATAATTGAATAATTTGTTCTTGTTTTGTTAACACAGAAGGGATTTTAAGAAAGTATGTAAGAAGAACAAGGATAATATTTTTTTTTAATTTCTCAGTTTGGAATAGGGCACTTTAGGGGTTTATTGAGTAAATCATACAGAGTGATTTATATAGGGCAATTTTTGGGTTTTACACAAGGAATAAGGAACTCTCAATTAATTATAATTTTAATTATAATTTGCTTACGTTAAGAGGGTTACATTGAAACGGGACTCAGTATTTTGACTAGTTCTCTGAAAATTCAAAAAGGGAGTCAGTTCCTGATCATCTTTTTTTCTTTTTAAGGGTTTTTTTTTTGGTTGGCTTGGGATTTGATCTACACGATTTGATATAACCTTGAGCCATACCTACCGGAAACGGAGTCAGCGTCTTATGCCCCAGCACGCAAGTACCTAGATAAGAGGGTTAAGAATTTTTTTTGTGATCTAGTGATATACTTATTAAGATCCATTTATCAACTATACCACTAATTATTTCATGGAAAGCGGAAATTACGTATTTATCATTATTTTATTTTTCCTGCGCCTGAGTTTAAGCTTAAGCTTTGGGTTAGAGTGGGGTTTGATTCCATGGTTATTCAATCGACAATTTCCGCTACATATCCAAAATATATTTTTTAATGATTATTTTGTTTAGGACCTGGTGATTAAATAGGCCTTATTGTTATTATTTTTATATCCGTTGTTCACTAGGTGAATATTTTTTTTGTACTATAAAAATACAATATATTCTGCAGTGTCATCAGCTTTTTTTATATATATATATATATAAGATTCTACCTTTCATGATTTGTCGGGACTTATAACCATCTTTTATTCTGGGCAATCAAATCATGTGGCGCCCTTGAACACCTTTTATGGACCACCCCGTCTTCACTGTGCTAGTGGCATTTGTCCAGAATAATAATAATATACTGACATAGGGGAAGATATTTTTTTTGTTTTTGTCATTTTTTTTTGTTATTTATTTGTGAACTTATCTTGAAGCGGGAATTTAGAGCGCTACAAGACACGCCCGAAGAAACCAGTATGGCGAAACACGGTTGCGTTTGTCTAAAACTATTTATTGAAAATTTAATAATAAAGTGTTTTTTGAATATGTTAGTTATGGATTTTTTTCAAGTATCGGCCAATATCATCAAAATCATAGTTGAACATTTTATAAATGATAGTAGTTTGAAGCTCTTTGTGAACACAATGAGTGAAAAACAGTGGTGAGAAATGAACAACGTCTCAGGATGAACTTACCATAGGTTCATCGGTATTTTTTTGAAACTGAACTAATCTGACTCGGGTAACGTTTTCCATCTCGACTTCGCCATTGGGACCATCCAGTTCATCCCCGCCGTTGAGATATGGAAGTTGTGGCGGTGGAGTAACTCGAACAGCATCTTCTCCATAAACTTCGTGTGCTACCACGTCATGGGCTTGTAAAAGAGCCTGAAATGAATAATATTGGTTACTACTCAGAAAAATTTAAGTGAAACATGAGAAAAGTTGAATCACATGTATAGAAACATATCGAGATTTTACAATTCGTTTCATCAGCCCTGTTTCAGAAATCTTTCAACCTATGTAGCCGTCAAAATCAACAATTCATTATTCATCAATTGGATTCATTTATCTGAATATCAGTTCAAACGCCATTTGAAAATCAATTATCTTCAACAGCCAGGATAAATAATAAAATAAACTGTCACACTGGAAGTACGCTGTCAGGAGGTTCCTCATTTCGTTTAAGAACTACTTCATTTCGCAATGAAGATTCCAAACGAATGACGTTAATGCTCGGCATAACTTGATTATTCAGTAAATTGAAGTGTCCTACTCTATTCAGGTGTGCTTTCATGAAGATTGAATCTATAATATCGGTACCCAAAATTCCGGTTCAGATATTCAGTTTTTGGAAATATTTGGTTTGATTGGCAGTTGAATCACTTCAGATCAGAAATTTTGATGAATCACTTGCTCATTCAGACAAAAAGAACATTCATCCGAAAAACATGTAGAGTACAACAAAGCTGATAGAGTCCAAAAGGATCTCACAAAATTCAACTCAAAATCGACTTCGTTCAATTAATGGATCATTTCAATTTTTCAAGGGTGGAATTTGTGTAAATGAAGAATTCTGAATACGTATGTATGACTCACTTCTGATGCTTGAGTTAACTCAGACTGCGTCTTTTCTATCAAGACAAGATGACTTTAAATTGCGAAAATTAAACGAAACATTGAATTTGAGGTATGCAAACATAAATGAATGGAAAACCCTTTCGAATTCCGGTCGGGCCATATTTTGCTTACTCTGTTCTTCATTCAAATTCATTCTCTCTTATTATATTATGAACGTTAATTCCTCTTGTGCCCTGAAATAATACTTTCTTTATTGACTATCCTCGAACGGTCATGTTGTATGCTCCTAACAAAAAGTTTCAGAATATCTCAGAACTTATGGTTTCATTGTTAGAAATTGCAGTAACTTTCATAATATTAAAGCCATGAAGCTGTTGTATTTCACCTAAGTACGTTCGAAGATAGAATATGCAAGTATCGTCTGGAGTTCATTCTATGAGATTCATAACATAGCAATTGGAAGAGTTCAAAGAAAGTTTTGTAAATTTCTAATTTTTAGAATAGATGGTTCTTACCCTGAGAGAGGTATCACTAATGATGTCATATATGAACGTTTGGAACTTTTTAGTTTAGACTGTTTAGAGCATCGCAGAAAATGTGCGTCGCTCATATTTTTATTCAAGTAAGTGAATGAGAGAGTTGACTGTCCTAAAATTCTTGAACAAATTAACTTCAGTGTACCACGGCCAGCTTCATGATCTCAATCCATTTTTAGACCTCTCAGAGCAAGAACTAACATTATGCTCAATTCCCCAATATATGTTATGTGCACAAATTTCAATAGCATTTGTGCTCATGGTGATTTATAATAATAATGATAATAATAATAATAAATCGTCTTTATTCATCTTTGGACACATATGTAAAGAGATAACAATAATAGGTATTCGACAAAGATAAAGTGGCGAAGTGTCATCAATGAAGCTATTATTATTATTATAATTTTCTTTTTCATCGAAATGTGCGCTGGTCAGGCCCTATCCCCCGAAGCCCCGATACATTCGGGAGGGCGCGCCAGCATAATCAATCAATGACCACTCCCCACACCGTGGGGTAAGTGATCATTGGGTCCGAGAGCAAACGCAGTGAGCCAAGAATGACAGCCTTCTGCATCTGTGCGGCTAAGATTTCTGCCTTAGTGCGGCAAGCCTGTATGATTTTAAGATTCAAGAGTAGAGAGGACATCATTCCACCAAGGACTCCAATAATCAGAACAACCAGAGTGATCTGGATAGAGTCTGCGGAGTTCGAAGGGAAAATCTCGATATTTTATCCGTTTTTCCTCCTCTTTTCTGACGATATTCGTCTTGCCAGGAGCTGGAAACTCCACGATAAATATCGTTTTAGTCTGGTGGTCGAGAAGGACTACATCAGGCTTATTAGCTTGTATGAGCCTGAGGGTGGGGAACAAATAGTTCCAATAAATTTGGCACTTCTTATTTCCCACAACGGACTCAATATCCCCCGAAGCGTTGGGCAACACCGGTGTCTCGTCAATACCGTGAGAGTGCCGTAGATGGTAATATAGCACTCTTAGGGCCGCGTTATGTCGATGGACATAGGCCGAGACCGCATATGCTGGACATGCTAATAGCAAGTGCATTAGGGTCACGCGACTGCAGTAGACTAAGGTGTTGAAGACACCATCCTGGCAAGCCATGGTGAACCACTCAGTTTTCGTCTTCAGCCCACTCGACCTGCGAAAAGCGAACGTCAGGCGCTTTGATAAGCCAAGGTCCCCAATGTTATTGAAGAAGACCTCATACATTGGCTTATCCATGTGTCTCCGCAGAAGTAAAGTGATCTCTGCGGCTTTTATCTGAGCTTTTTGCTGAACGGGTTCCAACTCGGTGACAGAGTTGTGGTCACCTCGTTCAGATTCGAAAACTATACCGAATTCATCAGCTGCTCGGGCAGCTGCCCTAAGGAGAAATGCTCCAATTCCTGCTCTCTCATGGTCACGGACCATGCAGAGGAGGGGATCCGAACTCCTGACGACTTTACAGGCTGGATCCAGTACCATTCTGTCATGTAGACAATCCAAACTCAAAAGTCCACGACCTCCCTGTTATCGGGGGAAGTACATCCGTGGAACGGACGATTTGGGATGCAAACTTCTATTTATAGAGATACATCATTTTTCGGGTATTTACGTCGAGTTGATACAGCTCCCCCCGAGTCCACTTCACTATTCTAAACGAGTAGAGTAAGATTAGAACGGCAAACATATTTGTTGCAGAAACCTTGTTCTTTCCCGACAGTTCCGATGACCAGATCTGTCGAAGTTTGTGCTAATACTTGCCGCGGAGAGAGTTCTTAACTGTTGTTACCTCTTGTGAGTGGCGTTGTTCCACCCCGAGGTGAGTATACGTCTCTTCGGCATCCAGATGATGTAGGATGCTTCCATCTACTAGCTGCTCTTTTGAGATAGAACATTGCACATTTGTCTATCCCGAATTTCATACCGATAGCATGCGTGTACTCTTCCACCACCCTCAAGGACTGATGCAGATCCTTCTCTCCAGAGGCATAAAACCTTGTGCCTTCGGTTTCCGGGGGTGCCACAATTATACCCTCGAGTATTTCTGAGCACAACTGATAATGGCAATAGTGAGATGTAGAAGAGAAGGGGACTGAGGGAATCACCCTGAAATACACCCCTTCTGAAAGTGACCCACCCTGTTTGGACTCTTGCTTGACCAGATGTTATGGTGAAGCGAGTTCGCCAAAGTGGTATCAGTTGTTTGTATTATTATTATTATTTTTTTTCACCGTAGTGTGCGCTGCTCAGGGCCTATTCCCCGAAGCCCCGATACATTCGGGAGGGCGTGCCAGAATTATCAACCAATGACTACTCCCCACACCGTGGGGTAAGTGATCATTGGGTCCGAGAATCATGTGCCCTGAGCAGTTTACACGAATTTATATAACAATTCAAATACACATTTATCTCTTACATTTCAGGTCGGACTATTTTTATTGAAAACATTTGCAGATTGTATTAACCAGTTTTATCAAGATAAACGACAATAAACAAGAATAGAACTCGAGTTCAACCAGGGCAAAAATATAGAAAGAACTCTAATAATGAAACTAAGCTGACAGCCATATATAACAATTCGAATACACATTTATCTCTTACATTTCAGGTCGGACTATTTTTATTGAAAACATTTGCAGATTGTATTAACCAGTTTTATCAAGATAAACGACAGTAAACAAGAATAGAACTCGAGTTCAACCAGGGCAAAAATATAGAAAGAACTCTAATAATGAAACTAAGCTGACAGCCAGTATATCAGGGAGATTTCGACATAAACATTAACAGCTTTTGGTGTGACTGGATGATGAAATTCAGGACCATACCGTGAGCTTTTCTCTTTGTTATTTCCTTTGGTATCACTCAATAGTGCTCAGTATAAACATTTCAATTAGTGAAATTATGTGTCCAAGTTGACCTTGGAAGTGGTTAATCTATACCGATATGAAGTTTTCTCCCCCACTTGAGCTTGAAACGACCTTGGACCATGTCACACGACTTCAGGTAACTTTCAGATGATTTCGAGTGTAGCTTTGAATGACTTCGAATTGCGTTATATGGCCTTGCGTGTTGGGACGTCACCCTCCTGCACTAACACTTTTGATATTGAATGACTGCAGCCAACCTTGAGCTATGTGCACGTCATATGACCTTGATGTTCTTCTTACATCTCCACACTTACATTACCTTGACGACTACAGAAAGCGTGACTTTAACCCCCCTTCTTTGTTGATAATTTCTATATATGCCCAGAATTACATGTTTTCACATTCAGTTCATATCACCTGAAGTATTCGAATAAGTGATGAGTATTTGTGAAATTCCAAGGTGACAGCAAGTATCTACCAACCCAAGGGGAATGGTATGAGGGCAAAAATCTGAAAGAATTTTGTGAGCTAATGATTGAAGCAGATTTGAAGCTTTTACTTTCTGACATATACACCTACCTTGGACAGAATATCATACAGGAATACCAACTGAAACTATGGTGATCCAGTCCAAGAAGGAGGAAGAGGATGTGAAAGAGAGGAAAAGTGTGATTGTAGATAATTGTGTTGTGCGTCATAATTGCGGGAACGTTGGCGTATTACTCGATCAATTATTTTATGATATGTGGATTGCTGATAATAGGCCATACCTTTGGCCAGCAAGTTTCCCCGATCTGTCTCCTATGGATCATTAGGTAAGGAAACATCAAAGTGTTTCATTTGAAAAAACTGAGTTTTGGCCCATTTTTATATCTTCAGACTCAGTCATTGATTCTGAA